CCCTCTGAATACCAGAAAAGGGGGTCCCTAGTTCGATTCCTCGTGGTGACAAATTTTTGCATTTCGAGTTGACGTTCCAAAATTCGCCCAAATTGGAGTCAAGTGTTTGGAGTCAAATTGGAGCCACAGAATGACCCTCTTTTGCCCATCCCCTCGCGTGGACGTGCATGCTGTCTGCGATGCGTGCGCCTGGTTATGCTTTTGCACAGAGGCAATTGAAATATCCTGGTTCTTAAGAAGATGTTCCTACGAGGTTCAGTGAAGCCGTGCTCGGCGTTTCCATGGGATGTCAGTGACCAGTCGGCTTTTCTCGTCCTCATTTCTTGCATGAAGTCGTTAACCTATAACTTTGTCACATCATTTCGTTTTGAACGCCTGTTTTTGTTCGCTTACCGCAGCGGCCGGTATGTGACTGTCGGCATCTCCGTGGTGTACCTGTAAATATGCACGCTTTACAATTTCCCGTCGGAAAACAGTGGAAAGTGATCGCACTTACTTGGATTGATGCGGTCATAGGAACGAGCTCAGCGTCCGGAATCGGTGTGAGAGTTCCATGGAATGAGACTGCTGCTTTCAGACCAAAATTGTGTCGGGCAAGATCCAAGGCACAAAGGCCTCCAAAGCAGTATCCTATGGCTCCAATCTAAGAAAAATCGTTGTTAGATATTGCTTTGGTTGCACTGTTTTCCACTCCTCCGGAATATCTGTTTCATTGTGTATTGTAACTAAATGGATATGTAGCTTTAGAGGCGTGCTCATGGAAAAACAGATGTGGCTCCTGCACAAGAATATGAAACTGCTGGTGGGGAATGGGTAGGCAGTAAGCGGAAAACGAAAAGTATCTGTCGAAAACGCTGAGCTGTAGGGTTTGTTAGTAATGCGGTGTGCTGAGGCTACGATAGAAAGAGCGCGGAGAGGATAGGGGAATGAGAGGGTGCTAGACACCGGCCTACTATGGACGGCGAAAATTGAAGCTGTTGAAGCCAAATTTGCAAGTCTCTGGGGCACTTGTCGGGCGATTACCATGCACGGGAGTGCTGAATCCACTAGGTGTCTATCCTACAGACAGAAGGGAATCATTCAGACGACTTCTGCCTGGGATGAGCGTTTAATTGTGGTGGATTCGTGTAGACATTCCAAAGAGGAGGCGACGGAAATCTCCTGATTAGGTTTGCATCACGATGTTCCATGGAGGCTAATCAGTAGAAGGTGTACTGGGACAATATTCGGTGCATGCTACCTATTTACATTGAAAGCGATCGTTATAGGAATGAGTCGGGATGGAATTCGTGTGATATTTTGTTTGAAGATCAAGCAAGAAGTGAAATGAGGAATGAGGAAATCTTAGTTGAGCGAGATAACAAAACCACATGGAAAATACTGCGCGAAAATTCCTTTGGAGCCAGCGCTCAGCCAATAGACGCACACATAGGCGCCATGCGAGGAGAGGGAAACTCGAGACGGTACGTTGTACGCAAGAGTGCACAAGCACCAAGTATGCCTCGATTGGCCGGCACGGCAGCACCAAGGAAGGGCTTAGCACCGTTGCCTCGTACGTACTTTATAGTCGCGATTCCTGCGCTTGGGGACCCTCTTTCTTACTTAACACTTTGACGACAGCGCGGCAACAACGTATGCCACACCAGTTACACTTATTTTTTGCGCACATGCTCGATTCCTTCCTAGGTTTTGTGTGTCACTTTACATCAATAACCGAAAACCACGTGGGTTACAGAATGACCAATTATTCTTAAGTTTGGTAGAGGGTTTTCCAGACCTGACGAAAATATCCGTTCAATTCATTCCTCATTTTCTTTCATCATTAACGCGAACATGTAATAAAAAAAGAATAATAGAAGTGAATACAAAACTAGTCGTGTGGCAAAATATGTTTTTTACTGAAACAACCACGTCCAAATTAATTTCTGGAACCACTAAGGAAATTAAGTAAAATTTGCCTTTTCACGGCCTTAGCGCCTCATTTCGGTCGAAATAATTCCATATAACCTACTCCCGATAAGTTAGAGCAGATCGATCACCTCACATCGCGAAAACACTTCATGGCATCTAAGTATTGCGTATTTACAGCTCGAAATCCATGGATTTGGTGAGCGGCAGCGGCGCTCGCAAAATCGCTCTGGTCCCACGCGGTGCAAAAACCCAAAACGCGCGAAGTTGTCACGTGTTAAAGGAAGTGACCCTGTGCCAGAGTCAACCCTGCGTTGCGCAGTTCGCAACGGCACGTTGAGAGATCCTCAACGCACGCTGTATGGGCGGAGACGCAGACGGCTCGAGCATGCGAGTGTGAATGTTCGCGCGAGAGAACGTGTCTAATCGGGCGAAACTGCGCAACGTGGCCGTTGAAAACTGCGCAACGCAGGGTTGACTCTGCTCGGAGAATTTGTGCTCTACAACGACACTAATCGAAACGTCCGAAATGCGGTAATTATTCTGTCTTTCTCACAAATTAGTGAGCTCCTTTGGGTAATTTTGCGTTTACTAATAAGACAGCCTTTTTTGGAGCACACCGAATCCATCCACAAGTGAAATAAGGACGCAGGTCCGAATTCGTAAGCGTACGGCACAGCGGAGAAGGTTCCGGCGACTTAGTGGAACAAAACTAGATGTTGCGTTTCGTATTGTTTGAGCCGCGCTGGCGTTATTATTAGACGAGATATTTATCGAACGAACATTCGTTTGAAATATGCCTGTTGAAAGGTTTTTCATTACGTAGTGTATCATGTGACAGAATGATTTTCGTGCACAAAAAAATACAACCACTCACCCTGTCCTGGTCTACCTCCGGTAAGCTGCGTACAGCGTTTACGGCGGCTAGCAGGCGTTTCTTTAGAACACCCATCCTATCGGCTACGAGTGGTTTCATCAAAGCAAAATTTTCCTGTACATCTGACGCCTCCTTTCTTAGATCTTTTCGATAGGACATCGGCTGTCAAGAGGACCAAAAACCCCAAACTAAAGCATAATTCTTGTGATGAGAAGGGAACCTGTGGGCTTGAAAGGCAGTTAAAACCTCAGCATAAGATGCTTCCCATGCATCGTTTCCAGGCATACCATTCGATAAAAGACTTAATCGGGGATTACGGATTACGATTTGACGGAAAGCAAAGTCAATAGCTCTTGTATTCACTAACGTAATGGGCGATAGGAAAAGAAGTTAATTATAAGTATAATCAGCAGGACGGACTGCAACTGCAACCACATCGCAACAGTTGATGTGATATCTCTTCTCTTCATTATAGATGTACGCAAAACAAAAACTTGAAACAAAAGACGAATGACTTTGAATTCTCCCTTCAGAAAAACTACATCACTTAACTTATTTACGTAAAAACTACATCACTTAACTTATTTACGTACACGGAAAGGGAAGTCTTAACGGTAAAACGTACATTTGCGAGAGCGGCTGCTCTTCCGCTTTCAAACTCACTGCAGCCACCAAAGGCGTGCATCACCAATACAGCTGGTAATTTTCGCGTGACATTTCTGGAAAGATTTCTGCATAAATGTAGCTGTTATGGGTAGAGATAGGTTCCTCTAGCAACACTTCGTTGATTATGATACTCATTTCTGCCAACGGCGTTTTTAGGTAGAGACTATTGGTGGCCTGACTTCTCGACGAGACCGTCTTCCTTGAAGGTTCAGTCCAGCGCAAGAGCAGAATAGCGCCACTTCCAGGTCAGCTATGGTTAGTAACTACCTATTGATTGACCAGGAGTGAGGCTGTTCTGCTCTTGTTGTGGCAGACTAGGCCTTTGAGGAAGAAAATCTCGTGGATACAGGAGTCCATTAATAAAGCTTTCGCCGCTCTTGATGTAAGTACATACATCGTGTGGTTGAAATTCCGAAATAAAGAAAACAAAAAAATTTTTAGCCTAATTTAAGCCCTTAGAAAGCTATATTTTCATGTTTTTTTTAATTATTAATTCACTTACCATCAAGACACAATCGGAGGCAAGTATTATAGTACGATAAAATGGACCTTCATGAAAGGGAAATCCGTCCACTGTGAGGGAGACAAGGTCCTGAGAGGATGAAGCGTGGCTCTTTTGCTCGAGGCGCGACTGCAATGACCTAACAAAGCCTCACCCGTAGTTACCGCCACCATCGTGGAGAGTGCTGTCTCCATGTGACCGACTCACCCAGTTGGGTCAGGATTTGAGGCAGGGTCAACCGTCCATTGGTCAATGTTCAACATAGGGAGGCGGTGGTACCTGGTCGACGGAAGGGGTAGTGAACTCTACTATACGCAGTTGTCAACATCGCAATGCGCGGAGATCTTTATGGATGTACTATCGTAGGGGATGGGTAACGCTATAAGGAGCCTGAATCTGTGTAAAAACTCTAGTGGCTTAAACCGGAAGGGTAATGACGTGATGCTAAACAAGTGCTCGCAATTCTTCGCTTGGACTTACAGCATCGAACGATCAGAATCAAAACGTTTGCCGTCGCGACAGTAGGTAAGCAGTGCAAATTTTTGGTGCTTCTTCGGCTCTTAATTACGAACTAGTGCACGGCTCATTCCAGACCATAAGAAGTTCTACGAAGCAGCTTATTATTTCACTTCCATCACAAATAGAAGGGCGGAAGTGGTGTAGTGACAAGTGGCGCGCTTACCACGCGAGCGGTCCGGGGATCAAATCCTGGGTCGTGAGTCGCCCGGGCCAACCAAGCCCATCCATCCGGTCTGTCTGGGAGGATAAATAAACACTGACTGATACATCGGCTGGCCCCTCAAGTCATTGTATGGGCCACATCGCATTCAAAAGCCACTGCGAATGTACAAATGGAAGTAATATGCGTGCCGCATCCCAAAAAGGGATTGATCAACGGCCCAATGCCTTTATTATTCTTGATGGGTTCACAAATATGCTTAAAGAATGCGCGGGAAATAAAAACCTCGCTACGCAAGCCCGCGCGGGAGATCGCATTAGCCATCAACAGACATTCAACACTATCACAGCCACAGTTAACTATAACCAGTCCGAAAAAAGGGTGGGGGGCACATCGAGACTCTTTCAGGCGAGCTGATTCAGACATTTTTGAAAAAAAACGTGACTGTTGACACTGTTTTGAGTCTGCAACTATAAAGTGTACAGGAATGTAAAGGAAGCGCTTTCACATGGCCTCCATCATCGAATTGGAGTTTTGGAGCATCATATCGGTAGCGTTTTTTTTTTCACTTCATTTCAGGTTTCGTTTCTACGAATCAGTGAATACAAATATTTACCTCAGAACAAAACACATTATTATAATTGAAGATCTTCTCTTGCCTCTACTTAGACCAGGTTGCGCTATTATTCTATGTCTGTAAGCTGTATCTCAGATTTATGTGTCGAGACAGTGGAAGAATCAAGGTAAGACGACAATTTATAACACACAGAAGCTGCCAAAATAGGGGGTTTTCGTAATCCTATCTCATTACCGAAATTACTCAGTCGACCACTCACTGCAAATCATTGTCGTGCAAATTGAGAATAATGATGGACTCTGAAAACGGGCTCAGTACAGTACCCTTTTTGAATTTGAAACCCGGTAATTTCTTGCGAAATGGAACCAAAGTCGTAAATAATGACGAGAAGAACATCACTGATCAGTTTTATGCTTGGCTTTGCTTTTGGGTTTTGCTTTAAACGTTTTTGCCGAATGCGAGCGCTACGATATTATGCTCCGACCCAATATTTATAATCACTGTCAATCATTTCAATGAAAAGAATTTGGAGGAATAATCTTTATTCGCAGGTTATTTGAGCCAGTTAACCTTGTTTTGCCGTTCATCAACTACATAGTTCTTCACCCTTACTTTTTCATTTTCTAAGTGCGTCCCATTTATCGACATCTCCGTTTTATTAGGAATTGATTCTTAATACATTATGAATTTAATCATCCTTTCAAAATAAGTCATTAGATCCGGTGCACAATATCAGTTTACTGGTAAAAACCTCAGAAACTTACAGTCTGTGGCGATATTACCTTCTAATATCTGTATCTGATAAACGAGGCCACTCAAGCAACTGAATTATATTTTCAATAATTGTGAGCTGATTTCGCGTTTGGTAAAAAAATCGTTGCTAGTGTATCACAGGTAACGCGGATATTAACGCTTCAGTGTGGACTAAAATGCAAAAACATTGCATCCGTTCTACCGTAGGAACTGAACAAGGCATGAGCAATGGACTTTGTTAAATGATGCTCCAACTACTGTTACAATTTCAGTTTAAAAACGTGCAAAAGACCTACTCTGGATAATGCAGGACGCCTTTCATTATCTCGCCATCAGCGTCTTTGTACTCGAATTCCTTCGATATTGCCATTTCTGCCCACTTAAAAATTGATGTTTTTTAACATGAAAATGTGACCGGAAAGGTTCAGCTGCTAGCAAAAACGAGAAAATGATAAGACGGAATGTTAGCATGAATGCGTTTATCAATAACCACCTGACCAAAAGAACGCCCACGAGTTTGACAAAGCGACCCTGGACAGGACACGACTGATAAGCGAGCGAGCTGATAGAATTGTACGACACAAACCACTTGGTGTTTTGCCGAAAGTGCAACTGACCTGCCTCCCATTTGCATAAATTCTGGAAACTGAAATTTCCCCACTTTACTGCAATCATCGATTGTCCCCTTCAACAAATATTGGTATCGCCATTGTTTTTCAAATCTTGAAAGGTCTAAAGTATATAGGTTGTAGGGAAAGTCTTTGCGGTTTTCGACAGTTATTGTTTTACTGACTTTTTGAAAGAAACAAAACACATGAGGAAGCAAGGTAATCACCATCACACACTATCACTCTTTGCCACTTTTCGGGCAGACTTCGGCTGCCTCCAGCAAGGAACTGCCCTGAGTTCGACTCGAAAAAGTTACGCAACCAGCGATCTATGTCATCTTCATCTTCGAACGTTTTCTCTTGTATAGCATTCGAAAGCGAAAGGAAAAGGTGGTAGTCTGTTGTACCAGTTTCCTGGCTGTACGGTGAGTGGCTTCCCACTTCCCATCCTGGGTCGAGTTGCTTCTGTCGGGTCACTGTTGTAGTGCGTGGACGAACGCTGTCGTGCAGGAATCAGATCGTGCCGCAATTTCGATGCTTCTCTGCGATCTTGGTGGCCATTCTATCCAGCTCCTAATAGCACAAGTCCACCGCGAGAGTAGCGCAGCGCGGCAGTAGCTCGTAATGGATAATGCCTTAGCAGTCTCACCAAAAACAGATCATAACCTTCAGAGGGTGAACACCTGCCTTCTGTTGCGGCTCAGGCTGGTCACCCTTGTCAACCCAGCGTCGGCGGGCCTTGATGTTGACCTACAGACAGCACTTCTCATCCTGTGTGACGACGGACTTCAGCCAACCATCCGTGCGCCTGTACGAGAGCCATTCATTAGTCACCTCGGCACGTTGCGGACAATCGTGTTCGGTCAAGCTGTGGGGTACGCACTGTCCCAGGTTGTGCACCACCTTTCCCAACTGATGCAGGTGACCGGCAGTGATGCTAAAGGATACACCTGAGACTTATGCAACTTCACGCGCAGTTTGCCTTGGGTCTGCCCACACCAGCTTACGCAAACGATCATTGTCGACTTCGAGTTCACGTCCCGATCAAGTGGAACTTTCAAATCTGGAGTCTCCCTCGCGGAAGCGTTCAGACCAACCTTGTGCAGTGCATTCGGATACCCTACGTTCTCCACACGCAGCATCAATGCGACGTCTGAATTAGGCTGCTGATCCGCCAAATATCAGGTGTTTGATATTTTGTTCGCCAAATATCAAGTACCAAGTGTTTTGAAAGATCAGTCGTCTCCAAATACAAAATGTTTCCTTTTGTAGTCGCATATAGGATCGTATAACTTCAAACAAATTCTTATGTAGTTGGCCTCACTTGGAAGCTAGCTGGAGGCTGGTCCGCTGTTCTGCTCGACTTCTTGAATGTGAGGGACCTGTGGAAGCAATGTGGGCGTTTCGCTTACTTTAGCGATGAAAGGAAATTTTAATGAACTGCGGGAGACCAAGTTTTCTATATGCCATTGCAATTGATTCTTCAGCAAGATGTGTAATAACAAAGTTTGCGTGGTTTTCGCGCTGCGGGAATTTGATTTTCAGACGTTGCTGTGCAATATGAAAAAAGGCTCTCTCTAAAACGAATGCTTTCCTTCTATGAGTCCAAATCCGAGATTGCCCATGACGGCAGAATTCTGGCCAATTACAGCCGCGAGGAAACGGGTTTCTTCCAGAGAGTTGCAGCGGTCTTCCCTCACCTGTCCTCCCCCTCCCCCCCCCCCCTTCTCCACCCCTCTTGTATTTCGATTCTCCCGGTCACGCTCATCTAACCTCGATGGGATAGGTCATGAGAGAGATACCGTCAGCATGAATGGCAAATTGACAGATGGGTTTGTCTATCTTCTATGTAGATGGCATGTATGCACTGTAATAAAAGGTGATGTAGAGGGGTGTAACATGGGTTTGCATACGTATAGTTGAAGCTAACACTGGTGTGAGTTGGGACATTTTATACTAAAAAACACGATGGTGGACCAGTTTTTAAGCTTGCTTGAAATTTGTAGTTTGATTTTTTGAACAGCTAAGTGTTCTTTTGTTTACATTTACGTGCACAATTATAAAAAAGTAACCGTAAGACCACAATAGAAAGGAGCGAAGTAAGGTCTTCCAGTGCCCCGCTTGATAAGAATGGTTCCTATACATTATATAGGAGCACACGCGTGGAACACGAAACTATGGTTCATTTCCCAGAAAGGTCCTCTGAATGTCAAGAAAGGGATTCAAAAGTCTCAAGTGTTATTCCTTTTCGACGCCAATTTTTAATAGAAACATATGGTTTATTGGATGCCCTTACGTGGTGGCCCTTATGGTAATAAGACATCGATACTTTCTAGCCGATGCTACCATTTTGCGACAGCATGCAAGCGCCAATCGAAAACACAGAAATTTAACACCGCTGGGAATCAAACTGTGGACCAATCGTTCGTCCCTTTTTGGGTTTCAGAGGGCCGTTCAAGAAAAATGAAGCACAGTTTCACGTTCCGTGTATGTGTCTTTTCATAATGCTAAAAACCGTTTTTAAAAAGCGAGGCATGACTTGAAAGACCTTCCTGGTAAGGGTCGTCAATTAAAAACCTTTACAAGGTGTTGTGCTGAATCGAATTTTTCACAACGCTGCAGTTGACTCTGGCTGGAAATGTTGTTTTACGTAACAGCTATTAAGCTATGTATTTAGGATGGTTTTACAATTGGGTGAGCACCAATATCGGAAATAACCGGGCCACCAATGCGTCGACCATTTCGAGAAAAATGTTTGCCATGTTTGAATCGACTAACTAGCCATGTGGTAATAGCTTTTACCTCTCTGTTTATTTTGGCTGCCTCATCCTTGCACACAGCTTCTACAACACCTAGTCATATTTCGATGAGGGGCTGTTCATCGTTCGTTCACTAAGGTGAATAGCCAGCCTTCGGACAACTTTAACTAGTTCACGACGGCCACCTTTTCCGCTTTTCGGTGAGACGGACGCGATTTTGTCGCCGCCCCACCTCAGGTCCTTGAATTTTGTGTAGTAGATGAGCAAATCTTAAATAGCACAAAGTAATTTCTCAGATAGACTTGCAGGCGAAACCTCCTAGTTACGGGCCACAGCAGTGTACCAGCGTATGACTGGCTAGTTTGCGTTTACACACAGCAACCCGAGTGGTGGTAGCCATTTACGCATGAGTGGGTGCCATTTGCTGCCGACACTGCTGTGGCCTATAATTCTGAAATGAAAAATATGCAAAAAAAACTTCGGATTCTGTTAGAAGCTTTTCCTTCAGTTTTTCCTTATCTTCTAGCTGATCAGTTTTTATGTTTACATTTTTTCTGCGTTCAAACGTCTTATCATATTCATCTTTAGGCTATGCTTACATACTATCCGCTTGCCGACGTCTCCGCCTGCATAAAAGCCCCCCGACCAGAACACGGCAGTTCAGTCTCCTGCGGTCCCGAGCAAGACATAAGACCGGATTACGCCCTGTCGCTACTTTCCTCAAGATCGGACCTTGCAAGACAGGAATCCTCGGACCTAAGATTGGATCAATACCCGAGGGGTAAGCAAGAGCGGAACGCCTCTTAGTTAACCGTGCAATAAATATTGTATTATATTTATTGGTTTAGCATACGCCCGCGTGGCAGGCGAGCATTCTACCACTGAACCACCGGTGCCACCGTTTTGTAAAAAGTCATAGAAATTCGACATTCATAAAGAGTAATTAAATACCGTGATTTGAACTCAGGCATGAGTAATTGTTTGTATAGATACATTAAAAAAATCGAGAATGCTCTATTCCAAAATGTGTACAGTTACAATGATACAACAATTAATCGTCCCTATTTTAAGCTTTGATGTCACGAATTCTATTCAAGGCTGCATCCCCCTGGCTCGCAAGGAGCGAGGTCGAAACCATGACTCTGAGTGCCGGCAACATACTGTTTACAAGGACGTCTGGTATAGATCAGAAGACGACACAGATGTAAAAAATGTATCCCATCCAAGGAGAGCTCCTAAAAATCGTCTCATATGAAATATCGCTGTTCGAATGAGTCACAGCTCACTTTTGCAATTATTACAGGACACAAAAAATAGAAGAGAGGAAAAATGAAGGGAGAAAGGGGTTGTATTAAGTTGTCGTTGTTACTTGGTTATTCTGAAGTCAAGGGTCAGGATCAATTTGGTGTGGTAGTGCCGCTCGAACCCGAAACAGGTTGCGAACAGCACAAGTAGGAAAGGCAGAATATCGTCAGAAACATAACTGTAGTAATAGAAAAGATCTTTCTTGCGCTATTCCGCGGAGAAGTCCAAGAGACAGACAATGAAATAAGAGATGATGTGAGTTGCGGATGGTGTGAAAGAATTTCGGCTCTAGAGAACACGGCTGGTCAACAATACGACACGGAGACAGCATCGAACGGTGGACGGTAGAGAGTGCAGGCGTCGCGTTGGTGATGAGTCCCTACCCAAACTATTGCGTAGCTCACCAATGGGAGAGACCCCCTAGATGGGAAGAGCCCGATTTTCGCCTTCGAAAATATCGGGGAACGTTGCTTTCGATCTTCACTCTGCAGGTCAGTCCCTTAATATGAGAACTAGCCTTCCTTGCTAAAAACAAGTTCATCCAGACTAAAGCTAGCCAGTCATGCTCTGAGCAGAAAGCTAAGCCTAAAACCTAAGCTTGACCCAAGTCTTCCCTTAGGTTCCCAGTAACCGCGCAGTCTCTGTTGACGCGTCTGACCCAGAAGGAACTTACGTTTCCGGTATCAAGCTGCATCATCTAACTGACACTCACGTACGTGCGTGTACCAGAACAGTGGCAGCAGCAATTCCGATAACTGCATACCGCCCAAGTCTACGAATTAGTTATTCTGATGGAACGGTAAAGCATGCTGACCACTTCCAGCATCTGCATAAGCAGTAAGAAGAAAAGCTGTTTGAGACGATCCTTCCAAAATGACGTTGTCCGGATCGCCATCGTACACGAACACTTCTTTGTGATGATGAGTTTGTTCCTGGAAAAGTGGACGACTTTATTCGAGATATCTCTCTATTAAAAAAATAGGAAAAAGAATCTCTAACATAGCCGAGTGTGCTTGAGAGGGCGTTCAGTCCGAGACTACTAGATATAGTTCGTGTACGTGTAGACGGCTGTAATCGCAGCGCTAATGCAACGTAGATGTAAGGAAATTGTTGTTATGAATTTCATGAACAACTCACCGAAATATTGCCATTTTTTCCGTATCGAACCCAGAAAGAAAATTTGGGCAGTGCGTAAATTGTTGTGTCCTCGCTTACCTAATAAACTTGAACATGATTTGAGACCTCACATTCTTTCAAACAGGTGTTCAAAGGCACATTTAGCGATAGCATGACACATAGTGTTGTTCGGGCTCCCTTATCGAAAAAAAGCAAAAACATTAACATACCGGCTTTCATCTAGAGGCTATCCTTTCTCCTGTAATTTCTTTTACGTGCTTACGGTCATGGAGACAGTTTGGAGAGGAAGCAGACATTGATATCAAGGTAATGGAACACAAGACGCAGACACCAATGCAGCCAGCAATTACATGCATTGTGGGATCCCGTCCAGGGTGAATATCGGTCGAGGATTCCTCAACGGCACGTCGAGGATTTTCGCCTGATCAGTTACGCTCTCCCGCGCGGACATTCACACTCGCCATGCGCGAGCCGTCTGTGCTCTCCGCGCGTACGTTCACTCTCGGCACTACTCTCGCACAGTACAGAGCCATGGTCGAGGATTTCCTCGACCGTTATTCACCCTAATCCCATCCATCAAGCGCTCCCGGAGCATCATGAGTCCCAAATGCTTTCTCCCTTCAGCAAAACTGGCACACCTGCTGTGCTTGTGGAATGTTCTATGTATACTCTACTGACGAGTGTTTGTTCTGCAGCTATTTGTGGAATTGTGCTTTTTGGTCATGCCCTCAGAAATGAAACATATTGTCCATGAATAAATACACGCACCTGATGAACAAGACGTTGATTTGTATTGTCCTGGTACCAGAACGATGGATACACTAATGGAGTCTGAAAGTGTAGAAATCAGCGCCCAGAAAAAGGAGAGCCGAAAACTGTCAGCAACTGCGCACTCCAATGATCTACATATCTGGTAGCGAGTCAAAATAACTTTATCTTCAGAATTCCGCTTCTTATTAGATGAATGCAGAAAATTTGGCTAAAGGAACCGATATGTGGCCCATATTGAAGTGGTGAGGCTGGGTGTATAACAAGAACCGTGAGCTACTTCTTATTTGGTATAAGTGAGTTCAACCATTTGATGTACAGAAACGAGATGGCGCAATAGTGAAAGCGAAGCCAGAACAAAGCGGTTAAACTCACGAAGTTGGACCCTTATTTTGTCTGTTGATTTCGGACGAGTTTACTACTCAAAGATGGCTGTCTGGATGTGATTACCCAGGTAAACTGCGAAACATAATGATCATAAAATACGGCCATTTATTACGATTGCGTTTCTGAGAATTAGGGTTGAACTTTGATGATGACGATGTGAAGATATCAATACTAGCATTTGGAGGCGCAGCGATTGACGCTTAACTTCTGGTGCTTAAAGGATCCCCTCCCCAGCAGGGTCAACCGTGCGTTGCGCAAATTTCAAAAATTTTTCGACCCCTCCTTTCTTTAAAGGAGTCTCGTACGACCCCCTCCATCCCCATCCCCGACCATCACTCTCACCATCACGCCTGTTGCTGTAGTACGTGACTTGCTTTGAACTTGAACTTTACTGGCAGGATCACCATCTTCAAGCTTTCAACTCTAGCCAGT